ACGCACGCAAGCACACGCACGCAAGCACACGCACGCAAGCACACGCAAGCACACGCAAGCACACGCACGCACACGCACGCACACGCACGCACACGCACGCCCGCGCACGCGCACGCACGCGCACGCACGCGCACGCGCACGCACGCACGCACGCACGCAGGGAGGCAGGCAGGCAGGCAAGCAAGCAGGCAGGCAAGCAAGCAAGCAAGCAGCAGACAAGCAAGCAGCAGCAGACAAGCAAGCAGCAGCAGCAGCAGCAGCAAGCAGCAGCAGCAGCAGCAGCCCACCAAGCAGCAGCAGCCCACCAAGCAGCAGCAGCCTTCGCACTTTACAGGTGTCTTCCATTTTGCAACCCTTCTACGACGTCAATTGTTTTGACCGTTCCCAGCCTTTTGCATGCCACCGGGGTGATTTACAGTATCAGCTTCGTTATTGAGCAAGTATCTTAGTTGCAACAACTACGCGAATCACGATGTCAACCCAACCAAGTGGATGGAGTTGCTCACTGCATGTAGGTGCTTGAACGAATGTCAACTTGAACGAATGTCAGGAAAGAAAGCTACCTCACGATCGGCGTCCGAATCCCCCTGACTCCTGTTGATAAAACTCGAACCAAAAGATGAAATTGAGAGGCATGACCCGTCCCAACAGGATTTGATCCCAGGGGCCCCCCTAATTCAAAAGTCATTTTCGTGACCCCAAAATCCGGTCACTGAGGAGAATCCTGAAGCTTATCAAACTCAAGGTTGCCGAGCAACCTTTCAACCTTTCGTGACCTCCAGCTTGCGCGAAGGCGCGACTCTGAGGCAAAAGGTTTTCAAACCGTTTGAGCGAATTGTCATGGAAGACTTGTACTGCATAACCTGCGGCCCCGTTGCTTGAGACTATAGTAGTACTAAAACTGCTTTGTGCAATGGCCGGTAGTGTTGACTTGTCTCTCTTGGGCAAAGAGCTTTTGCACGTCTGTGTTAACATGCGGCGACGGCGCGTCACCCATGATGATCACACACAGAAAGTTCTTTGCACTTCAAGAGCTGACTGTTCTTGGGGCTTCTTGCGCAACTTGGGAACTGACGGTCCCGTGCCACTGGCCGGTGGTCTGGCCTATAGTTACAAGCTGCAGCATAGACTGTCTAAGTGTGAGGCTTCGCACGCACAAGTCTCCTAGGTCCTAAGCATGAAGTGCCAGGTACTCAGCCAAGAATTGAGTGTGGACTGGAGATCAAGACAAGGAAGGTCCTTCTCAGAATCGTCTCATCGTACCGGCGGGCGACAATGCATGCATTTGGTCTCACGCTCAATGTCAGAACAAGGGACCCTCATCATGTTTCTATAATTGTTGTCCAATAGCTGGCACGAAGTCATGGCAAAGTGACCTACATGACCCATGGTCCAGCCATGGTCACATTAAGCCCCCAAACCCTTGATATATCTCGCGAGAAGCCCAACAGTGCCCAAACTGTCCTAGTCATGGGCAATGGGAGTGTATCTATATATTTCACCTGGAGGAGAAGTATATTTGTCCCTGTTGAAAGTCGAAAGTAGAATACAGTATCTGTCTATTATATAACCCTGATCGCCCCGATGGCTGCTAGAATCCAGAAAAGCAAGTAATTACTACATGAAAATTCTGGTGAAAATCGCTCTGCCTCACGACCAGCTAGAAAAGAATAGAAAAGAAACATCTTATTAAAAAAGGCAGCACATGCCAGGGATCTCACATCCTCCAAAGCTTGAAGCAAACATGAACTGGGCAGTACTGCTGGACCAACTTCTGCACAACCGCTGCCCCAGCTATATATAGCTCATAGAAACCTGGACTGATTGTGAGGACTTCTATCAACAGTTGTCCAATTGGCTGGTGAACGAGAACTCCCTAAGCTGCGCTCCTTCCACGGCGATCAATCTCGGTCAAAAAGTGCTCGATCACGGATCTGGGACTTTGGGGTGAAACTACTGGGCCAATCCATTGATCAAAGAAAATGACCCCTGGAAAAACGATTTTACTCTACAAACAGAGGATGGTCTACTTCCATGATTGTTACAAGGAGGCTCAATCAAAACCCCACAAAAATCTTAAGTGAGTCCTTGACTCCTTGACGGCAAAACCATTGCGGTCTGCGCGACAATGGGCAACTCTGATGAGTTGCAACTGACTCAAACATTGGATGCCATGATGCCACCCATGCAATCATCCAAAGCCCCTGGTACAACAAGTAGACTCTGACCCTTGGTTCCTGGGGTCTGATTTAGGCAGCTCCCCCGAGAGCCCCCAGAAATCAGCTCGAGCTAATATGGGACTTCACAGTGATGCAGCCCACAGCCGTTTTCTTGCTGGAAAAAGCCGTCTTACAATGTCACCCATGAAAAACACACCGGCCAACAACCACATTCACGCAATCATGAATCAAATCAAATAAAGGTCAAGTAAGGTTTTGTGCATTGCCCCTTTGCGCTACAGAACATCATCTTGTCAACTGATTGTCGAGCCATCACCCGAAGTCGGGCCATCGAGAAGCTGGCTTGCGCAACGGCTTCCGGTCGGCGACCGTGTGATTCGGGGCGTTTTCGGGTTGACCAGGGTCTTTCGAGAACCCAACCTCCAAAGGTACAAGAAAGACGGGCTGCAACTCGTGGGAAAAGCATGGAATGACCTGCCCTCCACCCATCCTCTTTAGTTCTCAGGATATAGGTCACCCTACAAACCATTCCCTCATTGTTCAACGATTTCTCCATGCAGTGAGTCTATTGGACTGCGCCTGGCCAAACAACGGTATTGGTATATCGATGTACGATGATGTACGTATATCCCATACACTCCATGTATGCCATATATGGGAGTTTGGGGTGGTTTGGGGGGCCAATGTAGGCATATATGGCATACATGGAGTGTCTGGGTATCGTACTGTTCCATACGTACTTCACACGTGGACCACACGGACCACGAACCCTGCCCGATGGTTCACACGTGGGTTCCAAGGAGGAAATAACGACATCCGTATTGCAGAAACCGACCTCCGGGTGGATCGTGTGGATCCCGATTCGGCGTCCCCTTTTCGGGGGGATCGACGGGGACCTGGTGGCGACGCTCGCGTCCAGACGCGTTCCTCAACCGCCGAGGAGACGGAGCGGAGAGAGAGGATGCGACGTCGCCGAGGCTGAGGCTGAGTGATTTTCAGACCACGGCCAGAAACCTCTCGACCTGGCTGCTCCGGCTCGGCGAGGTTGTTTCGGCCGAGATCGATTCGGAACGCCCGGTGGGGTGTTCCAAAGAAAACGCCCGCGCGCTCGGAACCTCCTCTCCACCCACGGTGTCCCGGGTTTCAATGCCTCCGCCAGCGCCAATCCAAAGTCCTCACACCGCGGCGCGGTTCACTGAGCTCGGACTTCCCTCGGAGAGTTCCGGTCCGGTGCCCCCCCAACCAGTGACTGAGCTCTCTTAGGAGGATTTCGGGACTCGTGTTGCTCGGGCCACAGGTGTCAGGCAGCTCCACTTCGGGGTTCTCTTCCTTTTCCGCAAAGAGGTTTGGTGAAGATGCATCCGTCGTGAAATCTGGGCAGTGTCCATCTTTACACCACTTCTTGATGCAAACGCCCACAATCACAAGCGGCTAAGAACTGAAAAATGCCCGCATATTAGCCACAACGCCTGTTGCTTAAGCAACACAACCTCACAAAAATCATCAAACATCGCAAAACTGCCACAAAACCTGGACCCTTCGAAGTAGGGAAATGGCACATGACCATACAAAAACAGGTACTTGTACCCGTTTTCCGACATACTTTGAGGAGTCTCAGTGTTTCAATGAGAACTATATACCAGAAAGTCTACTATTAAAGGTACCTCCAGGCTGAAGACCCAGGTCCTCCCGCGCACGAGGGCCCACGTTGGGGAAGCAGCTCGCCGCATAGGCCAAGAAGACCTGCAAAGATGCGGGCCGGGCGAACAGGAATTCGAATGAGCTGCTAGGGGACAGTTGCTTGGGCGATCGAGCAGAGACGTACTACATCGACTCAAAGAGTTAGGTGAACGGCCGTTTCCGTGGTCCGTTTTGCTTGGAACTTGTCTTCACACACCACATACTCTCCTCTTCCTTGTGCCGAAATGCCCCAGAAACGCCTTGGTCGCGCAAGACACAGAGCGGTCTTGCCGGGCCTGGTCAGATCTCATGTTTCAAAATTTGGACTGACCAATTGGGCACCCTTTGGCAAGTCAGTCAATCGGCACCCTTGGCCCATCAGTCAATCGGCACCTTTGGCACGTCAGGTATGTTTTCGCTCTTGCGTCTGCAGAGTGAAGAGTTCACACCAGAGAATCCACTTCATATATCATACAGGATACATTTCGCCGGTCCATGGGTTGAGGATAGAAAGGGTTCGGAAAACCCGCTTTGATAGAGCCACTCGAGCGCATGCCGTTTTTGCATTGCATCGAGCAATGTGGATGATCATGGCATCATGACGCCGAAGCTTGCTGTCATTGTGGGCTCGATCGTCACCATGATCAGAGTCATCAGGATCATCAGGATCTCTCGATGAAAAACCCCATTGCTTCTTCAAGTGCTCGATCTGCGCTGCGATCTTTCGCCTGTCTTCGTTTTTCGCCGCTGTGAGCTTCTTCTTGAGCTGGTCCATAGCAGCTTTGGGATTCTCCTCGCCCCAAATATGCCCATTGCGTTTCTCATTGCATGCTTCCACCACAATAGCCTGGAAATGACTCCTTGCCTTCTTCTTGCCCACGTCCATGCCCTTGCTTTCAATGTAGTCTAAGAGTCCACGTTTGATCTCTGTTCCTGCTGCCTGGTACGCGCTGCACTCGTCATCAATTCCGTCAAGGATAGGCTCGAGCGGGTTCTCCTCGGGGTAGCGGCAACGCTGGTCCAAGTTGTCGGGCGTCACTGCCGTAAACTCCCTGAGCCTTTTCAAAGCAGCGTCCACAGACATGGCTTTCACGTAGGCGCACTGCAAGTGGATCTCCTTTCCAGGATTCCCACTGACAAAGCCCCGGCGCCGAAGGCTCTTTTTGGTGGTTTTCCTCCCACCCTTTACGACTTTGGGCATCTCGAAGGTTCCAAACTCCAGATCTGCGTCCAGGTTTACATAATCATCGGCTCCGCTGGCACTGCAACTCTGTCCAATGTCACCGGCATGTTGAACACCAGGATGATCAGGATGCCATCTTGCCTTTCCAGGCAAGAAGCGCAGCTTCTCCTCCGTGGGCACCCATTTCAGCCATGCAGCAGCAAGCGCCTTTACCGGCTTCTTGACTGATTTTGCAGGCGACTTTGCAGCTGGCTTTGCAGCCGGTCTTTTCATGTCTCGCACCGCTGAGGAGGTCCACAATTGGAGGACTCCTTGGGCCAAACTTGCAGAGCCTTCGTCTTCACTTATTTTATGTTCGAAGCCGTAACCTGACTGTCAGACCTCATGGTGGGAAAAAAAGACGTGTGACCTGTGACATGCCAAAAAGGCTTTTTGCATGTTCTTGCTGCAAAATGTCACTCAAGAGACCCCTCTCTTCATCGGCGCAAAAGAGCCGGAGCCAGCCCACCCCAACTCTCACTCCTCTCGCGGTCGTCAACCTGCCACGCTGAGGAATGCCCTTCCAGCAGGTCCCTCAGGGCACCAACGGCACGTCGCGAGGTGAGGAACTTGAGCTGAGATGAATTTCCCAGGGAGGTTGCTTGTGACCTGAAATAGGACCCCCGCGTCATCTGCGGTATGTATATCATATATATGATATTATAAAACATATATACATGGGATAGTCGAAGGGGTCGGGTCCTCAAGAACCTCTGTTGGAGTTACTTGCGACTCTAAGAGTCACCTTGTGAGTCACCTTGTGATGTCACCTGGTTTGCTTTGTCCCATCCAGCGGGCAGCCAGCCCCCAAGGTCCTCAACCGGCACCCCCGTCTCGTGATGATCAATGATGACAAAACTGTTGCGGGTTCTTTTGCAGTTGAACCCTTTGGGTGGTGAACAGTCTTGTGAATCACTCAGTGTTAAGGGAACCTTTTGGATGTGCGGCTCACTGTGGTTCGGGTTTGCTCCAATCTCCCAACCACCGAACCGTGGTAAAAGGTTGGCAACAACAACAACAACAACAACGATACCACTCTGACCAACCCGAGTCGACTTGATGTGTCTTCTCCACCCGCCTTGCTGAGAAGGGTAGGATCTCCTGAAGGAGAAAGGAGAGGACAAAAGGACTGGTTAGTTAGTTTAGTTAGTTTAGTTCCCCAAATAGTGCTCCGCACTAAGGGGTTCTTACGGTAAGAGTTAAGCGGGTTTAGATCAGGGTTCGCGCGTGTGGCCCCGGCATGTTGCGTGGGCCGGCTCGCACAAAAGTTACTTTTTGAATTCCTCATGTCCATGTCGACTGCGCAGGCTCGCATAAAGTGGGGGTCGCGGTTTTCGCGCTTCCGGGACAAAGCTCTCGTGCAGGTGCCGTGCTCGTTTTCGGACCTGAAGTGAATTTCGCGTGGCAGGCGCAAGGAATTCGACACATTGGAGCCTCGAAAAGGTCATTTTACGTGGCAGGTGCAAGGAATCGGAGACTTTGCAAATTTCGTGGCAGGCGCAGTGTTTTGTCGACGTTGCAAAAATGTTGGCAGGCGTGTGTCATTCGCAGGACTGCGTTTCACGTGGCAGGCGCACCATGGATGCGATATTTTGAGGTGAAACGGCTGAATTCGTGAGAGGGGTCGCATTTTTGGACTTTGACCTTGAGGATGATTTTGCGTGGCCAGCGCAGCATTTCGTATGACCTGCAGGCATGATTTCGTGGCAGGCACAGCATTTCTGAAACGCATTTCAATATTTGCGAAAGCCTCGTGCAATTTGCTCATTTTGGATCTCCGATGTGCAGAGTTCGTGGCAGGCGCAGCACTTTGTGAATCTCGATGCGCAGATTGCGTGGCAGGCGCAGCACTTTGTGAATCTCGATGTGCAGATTGCGTGG